GTAAAAGAAACCAAGCAAAGGCAAAAAAAATATAAATCACACGAGTGGAAAGATATTAACCAAACTGGGACTCAAGAATAAAGTCTATAAAAGATTAAATATTCAAAAAGATAAATTTAAATTATATGAAAGGAAACATATTCAATACATTGTAGTTTGTTACTCATAATCACTAGAATACTTTGTGTCTTGCTGATGAAGATACTTGAAATAAGTTAGTTTAAGTAGAAGTAGCATAATAGGTTTTAGGAATTAGTATTTTGAGTTTAATTACTTGTTGGCTTGTAACAATTTTCATAATTCCAAGGCCCAAAAAAAATTTTAATGCATTATTATTTTTAAACTTATTATATAAATATATTTTTCACATGTAAAATTTATTCGGTACGTTTCGGTATTTTTTCGGTTTATTTTCATAAAATAAAAAATTTACCCTAATTATCGGTGCGGTTATAAATATATATAAAAACCTAAGATTTCTTTAATAAAAACCTAAAAATTGATTCGGTGTGGTACGATTCGATCGGTTTAGTCGGTTCTCGAATATAGGACTAATGGAGCCTACCGTAGCGTTCAATCTTGCAATCTCAGCACGTGTGACGTGGCATGCATCTGGAACTAAATATATGTAAATGATCTTTTACTCATTGGAATGTTCCTCAAAATCTTCCCTCTCACTTCTTTCATCTAAAAAAGAAGCTGAAAAATTCCCCTTCCATTTTTCTTCTTCACTTCCCTTTTAATTTCCCAATTATCCATACATCTATACTACTCTCCTCAATGTACGCCTTTTTCTTCACATTCTTTTCCCCGAAACCCTAACTGGAGTTGTCAATGTCGGAGTTTCCGCCACCGGAGGATGACGGAGCAATGGTTGCACACGACAACGTCGGCTCCAAACGCCACCGTCGTCCCAGCGTCCGGCTAGGCGACATCGGCGGTTATGATTCTTCTTTCGACCAACACCAACGAAAGCCCAAATCTCTCATGAAGTCTCCGTCCAACAAGGTTTCCAAAAATCATCATCTCGCCAACTTATCAAGTAATCAAACCCTAACCCTAGTTGATACTAACCCTAATGGCAATAGCAATTTTAAGAAAAAATTGAATGATAGGAGTAATGTTGAGGGGGAGGGTAACGGGGATGCAAATTTGGATACTGTTGCCATTGGTAGTTGGAAAATTAGGAATTTGAAATCCAAGAAAGGTCCAATAACCAAGAAAATGAGGTCTTGTTGGGCTACCAAAGATGACAAAACACTTAGTACTGATGTGGAAGATTTGGAGAATAATGAAAACTCAGAACATAGCCCAGTTCATTCCCCTGACAATAATATAGATATTGACATTTATAGAGGAATGGGTAATGTGAATGGTAGGAAGACGGCGACTAGGGTTTCAGAGGAGGGCCCAACTACTGATACAGAGGCCCGAGATTGGAACTGGGGTTCACAGAGGAATGGGGTTAAGGTATGGCTGAACCAGCTAGGACTTGGTCGGTATGCCTCTCTGTTTGAGATTCATGAGGTTGACGATGAGGTTTTACCAATGCTAACGTTGGAGGATCTTAAGGATATGGGAATCAGTGCAGTCGGATCGCGAAGAAAAATGTATTGCTCAATTCAGAATCTAAATAAAGGGTTCTCTTGAGTGGAGGAGCATGACCTGTAAGGCTTTTGTAGTTGCTTAGGCTTACTGTTGAAATTTTGCCGATCATTAGCATTACTTGCAGCTTAACCTCATAATTTTGCTGATATTTTAGTAGTTTAGACTTTAGAATGCACTTCTAATATACTAGTGTGGTTTTGTAGTGTATAGTGCTCTAACTGTTGGTAACATCTTAATTTTGTCCTAAATAGATCAAAACTTTGAGACCTGCAACATAGAGATGCGTCATTCAAAAATGAATGGTAGTTGCCCTTTTAGTTTTCCTAATAAATTTGATGTCCAAACTTCATTTCAATCTTATTTAAGCGCCACGGGTCTTATTTGGTTGCTGAATGCGCATTGCTGCTACTTTCCAAATGACCCTGGGATTGTGCTGTTGGCATTCCTTTCCTTTCTTAGAGTACCTGCAGCATTCAGTGAATTTTATCTTCAATCTATTGTAGCATGAGGAGCTCTAGAGAACATTTTCTTTGTGATAAGGTAAAATTGTTTTATTGATGATGGGCAGGATCTCTAGACAACATTCTCTTCAGCCATTATCTAATGTGTGGTTAATTTGGATTCAGTAGCCAATTTTGTACTTGGTGCTGCAGAATGTTGGTTATTGACGTGTTTGCTATATTGTTGGGTCTATATCATCTGTGTGAAACTAATATTCTGTGAATAATCTTATAGTGGTTTGCAGTTCCTATGTGTTCGTTCTTATACTCTTGTATGTCCCTGTCAAGATCATATTTGTATGAACTGTGTGGTACTGACTTTTAACTTTTTGCTTGGTTTTGGGAGTTGGCAATCATAATGTGAACTCTGAGCTTCACAGTTAATGTCTCAAAGATTTCTTGCTTAAGTGAAACTGTTGCGAGACTGTCATGACCTAAGCCCGTGGTACGAATTGTCCGCTTTGGGCCTAGGCTCGCATAGATTTGCCATTTTGGGCTACGCCGCCTCGAGCCCGAAAAGCGCACGTCCGTGCGGGCCTATACCCAAAGCGAACAATTCGTGCCACTTTAGGTCATGACAAATATGTTATCATAGCATGTGATGCCCATGACGGAGGGTGAGCCGATGAGGGCGGGTCAAGTAGGACCGACAGGTTTCTAGGCTGGCAAGCTTCTGAAGAAGGGGTGCACATGTAACCTTAGATGAATCCCACATCGGAATGGGAGAGCAAAGTGAAGAGTTATATAAGGAATGACACAAGTTCACATGGTACGCGTGCTTTTGGGGCTCGAAGCAGCGTAGCCCAAAAAGTCAAATCTGTGCGGGCCTAGGCCCAAAGCGGACAATTCGTGCCACGGGCTTAGGTCATGACAAATATGGTATTAGAGCGAGTGTGGATATTATGCATCAACTTCCCTCCATCAGGGAAAACACATATCATTCAACATAAGAAATTGGTAGTGACAGAACATGCTCAATTATCCAGCTGTCAAATTTGTACCAATGTGTTATCCGACCGAAAATTCATGAACCAAAATTTTTGTTCTCATCCTTTTGGTGTCAATTGTATCATAAAGTATATCGCCGTGAAGCTTGAGAACAATATAGGAAATATTCTGCGTCCCTGCCCTGATTGCGACTAGCAAGCTTGCTAAAAGCCACGCCGTTTTCATCGGTCAACTCCTCGCATTTTAACTTAGAGTGCCACGGAATCATGCAGCGAAAGCAAAAACTTTTCTTACAACTGGGACATATTGAGCGCTTAGCTTTTCCCCCACAAGTGTCCAGAATCAATGCCCCACATTTCTGATTTGGATAGCAACAATGCGGAAACACAGAAACAGAGGACCGACATAGCACATCTCCCCATTTCACAAATGGCTCCGGACCCACAAGATCCCGAGAGGATATGGGGTCCAAAAGCTGGTCACAATCTGGGCAAAGACACGAAATATGTCCTATATTGTTCTCAAGCTTCACGGTGATGTACTTTATGATACAATTGACACAGAAAGGATGAGAAAAAAATTTGGTTCACTAATTTTCAGTCAGGTAACAACACATTGGTACAAATTTGACAGTTGAATGATTGAGCATATTCCGTCACTACCAATTCTTGTGTTGAATGATGTGTGTTTTCATGATGGAGGGAGGTGGATGCATAGTATCCATACTAGAAGCAGGAGCTGCTTCAATACGCTGGCGCTCTGATACCATATTTGTCATGACCTAAGCCCGTGGCACGAATTGTCCACTTTGGGCCTAGGCCCACACGGATTTTCCTTTTTCGGCTACGCCCTGTAGGACCGACAGGTTTTTAGGCTGGCAAGCTTCTGAAGAGAAGGTGCGCATGTCACCTTTAGACGAGGAAAGTGAAAAGCTATATAAGGAATAGTACAAGTTCATATGGTACGCGCGCTTTTGGGGCTCGAAGCGGTGTAGCCCAAAAAGACAAATCTGTGCGGGCCTAGGCTCAAAGCGGACAATTCGTGCCACGGACTTAGGTCATGACAAATATGGTATCAGAGCACCAGCATATTGAAGCAGTTCCTGCTCCTAGTGTGGATACTATGCATCCACCCCCTTCCATCAGGGAAAACACACAGTGACAGAACATGCTCAATCATTCAGCTGTCAAATTTGTACCAATGTGCTGTTACCCGACCGAAAATTCATGAACCAAAATTTTTGTTCTCATCATTTCTGTGTCAATTGTATCATAAAGTACATCACCGTGAAGTTTGAGAACAATATAGGACATATTCTGTGTCCCTACCCGGATTGCGACTAGCAAGCTTGCTAAAAGCTACGTCGTTTTCGTCGGTCAACTCCTCGCATTTTAACTCAGAGTGCCACGGAATCATGCAACGAAAGCAAAAACTTTTCTTACAACTAGGACATATTGAGCGCTTATGGTTTCCCCCACAAGTGTCCAGAATCAATGCCCCACATTTCTGATTTGGACAGTGACAATGCGGAAACACTAAAATAGAGGACCGACATAGCACATCTCCCCATTTCACAAATAGCTCTGGAGCCACAAGATCCCGAGAGGATATGGGGTCCAAAAGCTGGTCACAATCCAGGAAGGGACACGAAATATGTCCTATATTGTTCTCAAGCTTCACGGTGATGTACTTTACGATACAATTGACACAGAAAGGATGAGAACAAAAATTTTGGTTCATGAATTTTCGGTCGGGTAACAGCACATTGGTACAAATTTGACAGTTGAATGATTGAGCATGTTCTGTCACTATCAATTCTTGTGCTGAATGATGTTTGTTTTCCCTGATGGAGGGAGGTAGACGCATAGTATCCACACTAGGAGCAGGAGCTGCTTCAATATGCTGGCGCTATGATACCATATTTGTCATGACCTAAGCCCGTGGCACGAATAGCCCGCTTTGGGCCTAGGCCCGCACGGATTTGCCTTTTTGGGCTACGCTGCCTCGAGTCCCAAAATACGCGTACCATGTGAACTTGTATCATTCCTTATATAGCTCTTCACTTTCCTCTCCTATTCCGATGTGGGATTGTCTAAGGTAACATGTGCACTCCCTCTTCAGAAGCTTGCTAGCCTAGAAACCTACCAGTTCTACTTGACCCGCCCTCATCGACCCGGGAGAGGAAAGTGAAGAGCTATATAAGGACGCGCGCTTTTGGGACTCGTGGCGGCGTAGCCCAAAAAGACTAACCGTGCGGGCCTAGGCCCAAATCGGATAATTCGTGCCACGGGCTTAGGTCATGACAAGGGCCCAACCACATTGAGTAGAAACATTGCTGCGGAACTTTTAGATAAGAATGACAAACCTCATAGAAGACATACTTGAGTTACAGTGACCCTGCTGAGCACTTTGTGTTGCATATATTGATGTTTAGGAAGTCGTCTTCATCAAAAATGAGATTAGGTGTGCCTCCTGATCAAGATGGTCATTTGTTAACCATCAGAACAGTTGGCTTGTCATCACAAGTAGAGGACAAGAAGATGTGAAGTGAATATCTTGGTCCTCTTTGCCCTTGGATGGTAACCATAAGCAAAAACTCACGCGCAAGCACAGACAAGCCTATCCTCTCCAAAAGTGGGATGTTACCCCCCCCCCCC